CTTTTTTTATATAATTAGCTCTACCGGAAGCACAAAGTCCCCCCTACCCGGCAACATTTTGCACATAAAGATTGATGGCCAAAGAAAAATCATGTTTTGTCACTTTCCTGCTGAATCAGCTGAAAATGGATCCGTGGATCTGCTGGCACTGCCCAGTTTAACAAAATTAGATGTTTCAACCAAATTTTGTTGAAGGAGCTGGTACAAAAATTCTTGCCTGAACAGTGACTTCTGCCAATCAGCTATTTGGGTATTCTGACTGCCAATATTAGAATACAATAACTGTCAGGGTAGATTTCTCTATCCACCCCCATAGGCTGAATCCAGCGGTGGTGAATGATAAAAATATTTATATTACAACTATCCAATCACTACAGCTTACTTGGTGATTAGAGGGAGCAGGCTATTTGTATCCAGTTTTGCTCATCCGCATGTATATGCGGCACCTTCCGTCTGCAGCAGAGGGCATTAGTCTCACGGAGGAATTTGTGAGACTCAGCAGTCGGACCCTTAAAGAGGTTAGAGTGAAATACACTCATCCCCAAAATTCGAGCCAGCCCATGACACTAAAGTTGTCACATGTTGTCAGGGTTCCACCCTGACGTAACTGGTTTGCAGCATTCTGGCTTGGCTGCCATTTTACCCACCTGTGATTCCTACTTTGCCTGAGCAGACTCTGTAACGTTGCTCACTACTCCCAGGCTCCCTCTCATGGCCAGACAGGAGAGCATTATCTGAGAGAGCCAGATGTGAGTTTCCTGCCTCTGAGTGATGATGTCCCCCCAACTCATAGACAGGAAACTCACATCTGGCTCTCTCAGATAATGCTCTCCTGTCTGGCCATGAGAGGGAGCCTAGGAGTAGTGAGCAACGTTACAGAGTCTGCTAAGGCAAAGGAGGAATCACAGGGGAGTAAAATGGCAGCCAAGCCAGAATGCTGCACACCAGTTAAGTCAGGGTGGAACCCTGATACATGTCGGCTCTATAGATCGAGAACTGAGCAATCACATACTGCTGATCGCTCAGTTCCCAATCTTTTCCCTGCAAAGGGAGAAGATGTCCCCAGGAGAACTATGTCCTCCTGTGACTCTAAAGCGAACTATGGCGAAAAAAGGTTGGGCCATAGTTCTCTTTTAATATGCCAAAATATTTTATAATCTGATTAAGTAAACATGCCATAATGCAACTGCAGTGCACTGCTATCTTCTAAGACAGAATCATAACTGTCAACAAAAATTGGCATATACACAATTGCATAAGCAGTATAGTACCCTTGGAAATGATTGTTTGTTAATGTGAATTTGGTTTTGTGTTAAACTGCATTTTGTTTTCATATGTTGCTGCTAAAATGACTTACATAAACCTTGGATAATACACCCAAACTGCCTGTTTTAACCTAAAATATGTTGGCCTAAAGCTGCAAAGGTGTGTATGTTAAATATATATTTGTACAGCAATTGGTATTTTTACACACATTACATATTTGTATAATTGTTATTTTTGGCTCCTTTCCATATGATTATACCCAGGCAGAGATAATTATAGAACAAATAACTATGAAGTTAGTGGCTAGCCTTATCAAAATAATATCTTTGTATCATCATTTTTTTCACAGGGTATATCCAAGCCTGTCGTGGTTTGATGATAGCAGCGGTCAGTCTGGGATTTTTTGGTTCGATTTTTGCACTTGTTGGGATGAAATGCACCAAGATTGGAGGCTCAGAAAACACCAAAGGAAAAATCACCTTCTTCTCTGGCCTGCTCTACATACTCAGTGGTGAGCTACATAAAGTGTAAAGCTTGCAGTTGGCAGGGGTCATTTTTGGATAGTTTAGGGAAGAGTCACTATGCTGCTGGCACAAACTGACCACCCTGATTGCAAAAATCTACCAAATCCTGCAAAGTACTCCTAAGGGCCTGTTCACATGATATCAGGTCCAGATCAGGTGCGGATCTGCAGACGCGGTGCTACTGATGCAGATCGTTTTTACCGCGTTTTGGCAGCGTTTTTGATGCGTTCCAGTTAAAGAAAATATATAGATATTTTTTTTGCTTGAGTGGGGCTGTCAGTATGTTAGCTGCAGTGCAGTGCTTTTTTGACATGTTTTTGATGCGTTTTGCATTTCCGGTCCGTTTCCTGACCGTACAAAATGTGACATGCAGTATTTTTTCTGTCGTAACCTGAATGGACTGCGCACGTGAGAACTGTAGCCCATAAAACACATAGGGATACATTGGGATGCATTTTTAGTGCAGGAGCGTACGGAGCAGGTCAGCACAGAAAACGGACGTCGTGTGAACAGGCCCTTCTCTACCGAGCTTACAAGCTTTTTATTCAATGGTAAGAGAGAAGGAAAAAGGAGTGAGTATCAGAAGAACACTGCAAACTCTGGCTTATTAAGGGGAGGGGAAGGACAGGCTTTAATACCTGGTAACACCTACAGTGGTTTGCAGTCTGTTTTTTTATAACTTTGATCACGGTGTGGTTGTGATGTGTTGTGGTAGACAGCCTAATAATTCCAATGGTCTGTTTGCTGCAGCTAAGTTGCAGTGCATGCACGTTTTTAAAATTGCATTGCACCACAATGCATGGTAATAGGTTATCAACTGATTTGGTGCAATGCAATGCACAAAAGATGGCTTGGTGCGTTGAGGGGCCATTAAGAAATAATGGCACCGCAGTGCACCTAACACTGCAAAATGTGGTTTCATGTGATATAGAATCTTGTGCTAGAGCTCAGAGAACTGATCTAAATGACCGTGCTCTTTGTAATGGCTTACACTGAGTGGCCAGATTATTATGACCACCTGACGTTTGTAGTCAAATTAGCTATAATTTCGCATTGAACGCGCATACACTAACATAAACACACTTCAGGTGCACCTATGTATGAAAATGATGATTGTGCTACATATGTTGGGTATCGCTACGTGTGCCAGAATGAGAGCAATATTCATAGTTAATTCTAAACCAATGCCCTTTACAGGTTTTTAAAGTGTTGCGGTGTAGATCTATTTACTCGGCACAACCTCCTCTTTTATGTTTTACAAAACAAGTGGGTATTATATTGTGAGTTTGTGCACTAAACTGGACTCCCAAATGTGTTTGCCACTCTACTTGAATGCCTCCTGATCCTGATGGATTGAAGTTGTATCTGGACTATTTTGATTGGTGCAGCACTTCAATATCTACAACAATAAAAAGATCACAGAGGTTCTAGCCTTTCCCTACTTACATTAAAAAAGGGATTTTATTTCTTTGTTGTGTTGTTGGAGAGTTTCCTCCACAGTTTCCTTCACTTTCACTATCCAATGCTGCCACAGACAGCAGTAAACCTTACATGGGTTCTTATTTTCCTCACTCTATCTAAAAAAGTTTTCGATATAGATACATTTTGAAAAACATTATCAGGCAAGCATATTAAAAAAACCTTTAGCTCTTGTTTTCACTTCTAAAAGTTTAATAAAAGGTTTTTATTTATATTATTTCATGATATTGCCTTATGTATGTCGCGTAAAGTCAGAGTTTTTGCCTTTTATGACGGTTGATACCTGTTTACCTCACTTGATATCCACTTGTGTGTGCAGCTTCCCAGTCAGCAAAATAAATATAATTTGACAGTTTGATCGTTACTAGATATACTGACTACTGTGTAATGACCATGGGTACCATGGATGCATATGTCAGTTACCTCTCAGGGAGGTATACTAAAGTCTACCTGGGTATGTAATATGCAGGTGTTTGGCCACCTCATTCCATTATAATCTTATACACTAGATTTTGTTTGGATATTTCTTTTTTTATTTATAACAATTTTTTATTTTGCAAGAGAGAAGTACAAAGGTACAAAAAAGTGCACATAGCACAACGTTCGTCCATAGTACAAAGGTACAAAAAACTGCACATAGCACAACGTTCGTCCATAGTCATATATCATGTGCATTTGTTTAAATTCCTGCGGGCTAATTAGTAGAGTACTTAAACATTGCAAACATTAAACTGTAGGCAAATTAAATAAAGTTAAAATAAAATACAAAATAATAATTCGTTCCGGAAGCATGCTTGTAATCCAAAGCGCTTGTATATCAAAGCGAATTTCCCCATAGGAAATAATGGAAATTCAGATGATTCGTCCACAACCCAAAAATATTCATATAAAAATGATTACAATACTGTACTGTAATATAATACTGTACAAAATATAAAGAAAAATAAACTGATTACCAGTACCTTCATGGCTGGTGTGAGGGGGACAAGAGAGAGGAGGATTATTGTGTAGGACGACTTTCACTATTACTAACGGAATCACTGCTATCTCTTGACTCAATGGAATCTTTTTCATTTCGTGGAACCTTAACAAGGAATCTATCCAATGTGACATTGCATTATCGTTAAACAGATTAATCGCTCGCACTGCTACAGCCTTATTCGGGTGGCGCTTTTATACAAAATGTTGCTCTTATTGCAAGACATTGCTTGTATATCAAGGCAAGATTTTTCAGAAATGTTTTCTTGTCTTGCAAAACACTCTCAAACCAAGTTACTTGTAAACTAAGGTATTACTGTATAGAAAAACAGCACTCTAAACATAAGTGCAACTACTAAGGTATGCTCCAGAGTGTGTTCTCGTAGGGGGGACAGGTTTGCGTGTTTGGATATTTCTGCCTGCCACACATGTATGTGAGGCCTTTTCCTGTCCATTTTCCAGGTCTGTGTGCCATGGCTGGAGTCTCCTTTTATGCTCACAAGATAACCTCAGAGTTCTTTGATCCATTCTATGTGGAGCAGAAGTAAGTAATTGAACTGTCAAATTAACTTTAATCAGACTTCTTAGTGAAAGAAATTCTTCTTTTAAAAACTGTGGTTATTGCACACAGGTATGAACTAGGAGCTGCACTGTTTATCGGATGGGCAGGATCATCACTTAGCATCATCGGAGGCTCTGTTCTCTCTTTATCTCTGAATGAAAGCATCAAGGCAGCCAGGTGATCAAAGAATTTGCTTTATCTGAGCATGTGAAAAATTATATATATATTTACATAAAAACTAATTAATATTGTGCCAACACTATATAAGTGAGGACTTTCAGGGGTTCTAACAATAATGCTATACCCTTGAAAGTATTTTCTTATATCTGTTTGATAAATTAAAACAATACCTACTCGTCATACCAGACATCTTGTGAGTTTCCAATCCCTGCCTGTGCTATCTCTAGGGACTACAGAGCCACACTCCTCATTATATAGAATAGCAGAAAAACCGTGTTCTAGAGTCCTATTTTGTTTCTGTATACCTGATATTGAATGTTGAATGAGTGTTGCCATGGTAGAATTGGAAGCGTGTTGTTGACATAATCACCAGGTGAAAATATTTTTAAAAAGCTTGAAAAAGAAAACTAATGCAGCCACCACATCTAAGACCTGGCAAGCTGCAATATATCACTTTCTTGTTTTTGGATTTAGATAGACTTTACGTTTTGTGATATACTGTATGTATTTGTTATAATTTTCTCATATATTATTTGATCATAAATGTACCATTTAGTAATACATATTTGTATTACAGAATCACTTATTCCTACAATGGAGTGACATCTGTAAGATCAGCGCGCACAAACCTCCAAGATCGCAACAACAGCCACAAGGCACAGAGAGGACTGCCTAAACAATTTGACAAGAACGCCTATGTGTAATTGGCTGCGGGTGGTTTAAAAGCCATGCTGTATATCCAACTTAACATCCAGAAGAGAAAAAAAAGACATTACTCCCACATGTTGGATGCAAGCCAGTCACTATACCAGCCTCTTGTCCTGAAAGTAATAAGGACTGCAATGTAAAATACCTTGTCAAGTCCAGAAGTGAATTTGGAGATCACTCTTTTGTGGGATTCATGTGTCTAATCCTTATTTTTTTGTACAGGCCCTATCCCTTTTCTTAATACGATATGTCATTGTTATGGCAAAACCAAACACACAAATGTGGTATTTACGGGTGGCCTGCCACATTCTTTTTACATGGGCTGCTGTCATTTTACTGTGCAATCAAGGGGCTGTGAGGGACAGAAATATGGGCATTGTAGTTTTTGAGCTGCAGCGGGTCTTGTCTTACTCCCTGCAGTTCCAGCACACAACATCTAGGTGTTTTGTAATGCGTGTTCGTGAATAGCACTTCAATTTCCATTGATGTCAATGGCCCCCATTCACACGTGAGTGTTTTGACACAAGCTGCAAAACGCCTGTCACTGGAAAATGTTCCTGAGCTTCTTTGGGGAGTTTTGTCGTGCATTTGGCCCCATAGACTTCAACAGTAAAAGCCTGAAAAACATAAAACACAAGCATTTGCTTATTTTTATGCCAGTTCCTCCATTGACCACAATGTCTTGCAATCTGCCAGCAAAAGTACGATGTCCTAATGTGCCCGTGTCTTCAGATCAGCAAATAATGATTACTGTTTAGCTGCTATTGGTTACCTAATAAAAGATGTAATGACAAAATCCCTGTAGATATTTAATCCCCCCACCTATCCTATGTATCTCCAGCTTTAAACCTTTTTTTATTCAGCCTTATAAGAGTGCACCCATTAAGCAGAGGAGTGCAGGAGATGTAACACACAATGGTACATGAAGCTTCCTAAAGAAGGCATCACATTTTTTACCATCACATTATTTGAAAGTAAACCTGCCATGATCTATGAGGGCTGTCATTGCTGGTCTCCATGCATGCATGTTTTGTAATGCACCCAGGCGCTTACTACTTAAGTACTTAGTACTCCATAGTACTCTTTCTCACTGAGGTGCTTAGTACTCCATTTAAGACATCCTGTCTAATGCCACAACCTACAGTTCTGGACATCTGAAGAAGGTGTTTAACTCCAAAACGTGTAGTCTTTTCTGTATACAGGTCTACAAATATACAAGATCTCTAATGATCGCAAGCTTTTGGGCCATTCCCTATATCGTACTCACCCATAGCCATAACATTCACATTTCTAACATGACAGGTTTCCTTTCAAATTAAAACAAACATTATGATATGCAAACTGCTCTTTGTAAAATCACCCCTACAGATAACACTGGACAATGAATCAAAGACACATGCTAAAAAGTGGATGTGTTTACCATTTTATTTAAATATAGGACTACAGTCAGGATTATGAGACATCACTAAATCAAACAGAACCTATCGACAACAAAGTGTAAAAAAACAAAAACTCAAAAAAATGCAGTTTGAAATGACAAGAGATGGAATTACTTTGGTCACAGTGAAATCTTCACACATAGCAATAAAAGCTACGCAGAATAAATCACAATAACCAGGACTGGCTCATATGTCTTTCATAGAGGAGAAAATATATATATTGCCATACATCCAACAAGTAAAATTCCAAAAACTTGCTATTTTAAGAGTAATGATAATCAACCCATGTGATTAGATGCTTTACAGTGCAGGTATTGTGGATTATATGCCTACAAACCCAAGAGTGATCCAAAGATCAGCCGTGCTTGAGTCACCTCCACTGAATGCTTCTCCCCTCTGGCTCCCAAACTGGTTTGAAAGAACAAGAGGTAAGAACCAAGATACACAGCGTACATCACTATGTCCTTCTGTATAATTTATACTAGCAGGAGTTGGGTGGGGACTATAGGACAAAGAAAGAATCTTGCCACTGGCCAATTCTAGAGGGTAACAACTGCAACTCAATTCTCACATTGCCTCATGCTTGTCCCCATTTAAAATCTAAAACATAAACATTTTCATGGATATATTAATGCAGGTAATTCTGAAGATATCAGCATGTTAATAGGGTAGAAAAAGATTTGAACCTTCTATTTGCTAAATGTCCATTGCTAGAGAACTGGCAACAACCATTTGTGGTGGCACTGTTGAGGTGAAAGCCTTTTGCATGGGCTGGAATTTCCTACATTTCGTAACAGGTACAGCTCATGGAGACAATGTACCCAACATTCAGCTATGCTCAAAATGGGTTCCTTTGATCCATATTGTTAAGGTACTGAAGTAATACATGATGAGAACATCACTTAGACAGTAATACATTATCACTATCAGCGCCTACGTCTGTCATTGACTGTGGATTTGGATGATCCAGTTTTGCACCAAGTGGGATGACTTTGCAATACAGTTTATCAGTGTAGAAGCTGTGCTGTCTTTACTGGCTGCACTAGCCCAATATTCCCTCTATTCAGTCTATAGATAAACAAGTATCTTCTTGTCACGTGCAATGAAACATTTGTTAGGTTACATGTGCATGAAAGGAAGTAAGGGGGAATCTCTCCAATAGACTTGGAGAACAGAAAGCAGTAAAAACTAAGAGAGGTTCTAAACCTTTCCCACTATCCTTAAATCAAGGAAAATTGGCTGGAGTTAGGCTCTAAAAGGTATAAATAAAAAATAAAAAAGGAGAAAATTAGACATATAACACGTTAACATAATGGGCAATGGGAGCTTGACAGAATAAAGACTAGGAAGAGAAAATATTAAGGTGGCTGTTAGGTGACCACATATTTTTAATAAGTTCCTTTGCTGATTAAAACTTAGGCTTGGGAGATACTCATGTCATGTAGATTATTTCCCTCATATGCCCAAGATTTACCATAGCAACCACATGATGCAATATTACGTGCAACATTTGCAAGGCCGCACCTGCCCAGCCCTGTAAATCTATTTTTTTATCTAGACAATAAATTCGACCTTTAGATCCAGATTGAGATGAACAATGAATATAAAATGTACATATTACCTATCCTACAGATAAAGCTTTTGAATGTATTTTGCGATCTACTTTCTAAATTAAATCAAGATGCGTTTAAGAAAGGTAGTGAGGGAAGACGTATGTCAAAGCAACTCATTCTAAAGTTAGTACATTTGGCAACCATAATGAGATATAAATTCCCTTGACCATCACTGCTTAAAGGCAAGTCCTGGATTTTCTTATTGGATATATTATAATTAACAGGTCCTGAAGAGAAGGCTTAAACCTTTCTACCATCAGCAACCTATACAAATGCTACTAATACTTCTAATATCATTATTAGCATACATAATATCATATATCACAACCTAGCAAAAATAAATACTGACTGAAACAAAAGGTACAAAACAGGCTATTAAAATCTGCCGAGTCATTGCTCTATTTCCGAGCCACTTTAAATCTTGCAACATTGCCACCTAAAGGACACTTGCTGTATAGCAGTCTATATAGATTTCTTAATATTAACAAAAATAGATTTAACCAAGCATAAAAGATCAAGATTTTATTTTTTATAGTAATAGTACATCACTAAATCATCTGTGGATCTTACAAACTACCTACTGCTTATAGATGAAAATGTTGTTTCACAACGCTGTCTATGTCAATTTAGACATATCCATGAAATTTAACTGTACTTTCTGATGAGGTTAAACTAAACGTGATACCTGGCAACATATTATTTATATGTTCATACTGTGTCAGCAATGCTGGTGGCAAGTGACAGAACGGTGGGGGCTGTAGTGGTGGATGACACCATAGCGCTGGCCATATACATATGCAATTTGCAGCCAATGGCATTCAGCTTCTGATTGCAAATAAGAACTGAACAGATTTAAGTGTACAGAAACGTCAACAATTAACTTCTCTTATTTGATCCCCGTTATCTTGCTAAATGCACATTGGAATGGGTTATGTTATATCTTTTTTTACAGGCAAAGAAAATACCTGTTTATGTTGTTAGGAATCTTGAGAACCATAAAACTTCCTGTGCTCTCTGCCTGTGCACAAGGAGATGTTATGGAGATGAGGAGAGGTCCGTGTTCTTTGTATTCCATCAGAAATGGATTAGGCAGGGCTGACACCACATGGTTAGGAATTCAGAGCTGAAAATACACACGGGGCAATGTACTAAAACTGGAGCAGACCCCAATCAGCTTCTATCTTCAGCTTGTTCAGTTGGGGTTTAAAAAGAAAGATAGAAGCTGTTTGGTTACCATGCACATCAGCTGCAGATTTGCACATCTGCTCCAGTTTAAAGTGACCATAAACTCAGGGGTTAAATCTTAAAAATGCTTTCAAGTACCTTAACTATCAACCAAAATGTATCTTATTTGTGTATCACTGGGCTGTAGATCCTCAAATCATCTCTGGATTTGTGCTGACACTGTGCTTCCTTCTGGAGGGTTACTACTTTTGTTCCCCATGGTCCCACAATATCATATTTAGATTACTAATTTGTACGAAGATTGTAGTCCATCATGGGAGCGAGCTAGGAGTGGTGGCCACAACACACACAGGGACCACAGGGAACAAATGTAGCCACCCTCCAGAAGGAAGGACAGTGTCAGCACCAATTCAAAGATGATTTGAGAATCTAACTCTGAGTGATACACAAATAAGATACATTTTTGTTAATAGTTAAGGTACTTGATTGCATTTTTAAGATTTAACTCCTGAGTGTAGTGTCACTTTAAATAAATTCCTCTCACTGTGTTGTCATGTCAAAGAAGAAGGTAGCAGCTTGCTATACCTCTGGCACATCAACAATTCATTTTCTGTACATGCAGTATGTTTACTGATTAATGATAGGGAATGTGCATGTAATCTAAAGATGGACTAATTATTTATTTTTCTGGCCTTGACATACTGTATACTTTTAAGCAACCTACTGGCAATGATCAAGACTCCTGGGCACAGGTTGCTTTGATTGGTTTCCTTATTTTTGCAATACAGCTGGTTGAAATTGCCATGTGTATGGTCACCTTTCGGCTTACTTACTAAGACAGTACAAGCAGCAAGTATGTGTAAAGGGCAGTAACTCACAGCGAACAATCAAAGTTCACCTGTAGTCAGTACTATAAAAGGTGAGCACTTATTGGTAGCTATAAGTCACTGCACATTTAAACTGCACTTTCAGATAAGGATTTCCTTACTAAATAAAGGCCTAGAACTGCAGAAAAAAAGTTGTATTTTACAGCTTGCTTTCAACCTTCTCCTGTGTGTTCAATAACAAGCATGGGAACAGCTTAACATTCACCGTCAATAAAAGGTACTCAACTCCCTGTATTACATTGTATGAAGAAAGAATTGTCGGTCATCACAGACAGGAAACAGAAGTGGAATATCAGTTGGTGCCATGGGCTAATGGAAAATGTTGCTTAGTGACCACTAAAGAAATTCTTATGTGCATACACTTACATGTGAGAATTGAACTAGACTACTTAGTTCTTATTATGGCAAGCGCAGCACCATGGAACCCTTTGACCCTTGTATTTACACCCCTTTCCCCTGAGATGCTTTTTCTTAATGATTCAGTATGGGTCTTTACCATCTTGGATCCTTAGAGTCAAGTTTTGTTCATCCTAGTCCTGCCCGGTTCTAAACGTAGTGAATTTCCCACCATGACCCCCTCCATGTAGACTTTCAAGCTGCCCAACACAATCAGCCCAACAGCTGGGTTCCATGAGCTGTGCAGTTCTAGAAGTTAGGTGTTTGGTGATATGGTAGGTGAGGGTGGTGATGGTGTTGGGTTGGAAGAATCCACACTTTATGCCGTCACTTGCCATACACACTCTCGTCACTATATGCCACATACAGGAAGCAATCTTCTTCATGGTTATCCTAAAAAATAAAACAATATATATATACAGATTGGAATCCATAGTGATCATTTACTTTTATTAATACATTATTAATATAATTCAAAGAGCAAATACACAATGCAGTAATCCAGAGCAGTGGCTTACGGTAGTAAACTTTGCGCTTTACCTTTACAGACTGCTTTCACAATTATTGAATGCATAATTGCACTTTGCATATTTCTTCTTGGTCTATTACACAATATGCTAGCCACATAAATACAGTATGTTAAAAAACATTTAAAAGGAAAAAAAAATGATGCTGTTGTTAGTTAGGGCTCTGGTTATCCAGGTCATGGTATAGCTAGTAGTAGTTATTCACATTTAGCTGAACGCGATCCAAAATGCTGAAGACGTTTTGCTGCTTATCCAAGCAGCTTCCTTGGTTCTGATATAATTAGAACTAAAGAAGCTGCTTGGATAAGCTGTAAAATGTCTTCTACATTACACAAAAAGTCTAGTTCAATGTGACTAATTACTACTAGCGATACTATTGATGTAGAAAATCCAATATAACTACCATTACAAATTAAGGACCTGTTTAAAAATATTGGATACACCTCCCATGAAAAAGCTTAAGTTCACCTCTTACATAAAAGGGTCTCTACAGTCAATGGGCTCACAACAGTTAAAATACACTGTGCAGTTTTGAAATATATTGCTTAATGAAGTTGCAATCTATACCTTAGGCCATTTGCGTCACTCCTGAAAACTGCCAGAAAAAACTCCAATATTATTAGAAATGCACCCACCTTGGTTAGTAACTAGGATGTTCCATACATTGAGAGCTCACCCCCAGTATTACAGGTGTAAAAGCTCTCCCCTTTTAAAAAATTGACATGCCCAGTGCAATCTCTCTCCCCTATCACAGCAATGCTGCGCTCACCTTCTGAGAGAGAGAGATTGCTCCACAAATGGCTTTTGAAAGCGGAAGAGTGCTCGCTCCTATAATTCTGGGGGCCATCGCTCAAATTATGGCACACCCTAGCAACCAGCCAGGATGGAGTAATGGTAACAATATGGAAGTTTTTCTGCAAGGCTTTGGGCATACTGCAATAGACCTACAGGTTTGGCAATTGGATTAGCAATATTATTCAAAAATGCAGTGTATGCTAACCTACTGGGTGACTGCATAGTTAATTTTATTCAACATGTGAACTTGAAGGTATATTTATTGCCAAAACATTTCTTTAATTTTGAATCTAATAAAGACAACTCCTGTCAGTTTTTCTTCTGTCTTAATGTACCTAAAGGCAAGAGGAAAACCTATCTTAGAGAGCTGTCACTCAAACATTGGATGATTTTCCCCTTGTCTCTAGTTCCGATGACAACAGTAAAATGTTGGTTTCCCATCACTTTCTATCATACTGACAATGGTCAGTAGGGCAAATATAAGTGGATGAATTTACCCAACAGGATCACAACAGGACCTAACAGAGGTCAAAACCCTTGTCTACCCCATCCAAAACTAAAAGTTATGGATTTAGATACAATTTGAAGCCTCACTGGCAATGGCTGTGTATTTATTGACCTACCTAATGACTTCTTTTCCAATTTGATTTTCTAAAAATGAATCAAAATTAATTCCTTATAGATTGAATTCTAAGCTGGATAAATCAAATTGCAATAGGTGTGTGGCTACTATTAGCATCATGAGGTCTCCATAGGTACACTAATAATATAGGCTATACCAGTGCTTCTTCTATGACCGTAACATGACTGAGAACATTAAACTGATCATACTATTAGCAAAGCTTCAGACTGGGTCTAGACTGTTACCTCTGACATTTATCCAAAGTGTTACCAGCTCAAGAGCAATAGATGTAAGATGTAACTGACAGCTTAGCCTAAGCTAACCTCTCAACCTCAGACTAGGTACATCCACCACTTGTCCAACATTGCTGTTTTCAGGCTGGTCCCGTAGTTATAACACAGATTATACGTTGTTAGGAACTTGTGCAGTTCATATACAACTGTAATGTATGCTAACTTGTAAGCATACTTACGCCTAATCACGAAACACCAAAGAGACTCAGCATATAACAAAGCCTATGCTACACTGACTATGTGTTACAGGCAGCCATAGAGTTTCTATGTTAAATTTACCCTGCAGCCTTCAGGGATGGACATGATGCCTGTGCTTACTGTGCTACAGGCCACAGGCTCCAAGAAGAAAAGCAATCAGGAGAATTAAATCAACAGTATACGATGGCGCTGTAGATACAGTATCTCTTGCCTGAAATTTTTTTTTTCCCCCCCAGTATTTTCAGTATGAAAAATAGGATCAGATCCTTTAGAAAATCACATTAATAATACATAATTACTAGACTTATCAACTGTCCTACTTACAACCTTATAACAATGTATCTGTAATGAATGGCCATGCTGACATCAGAACACGAGCACATATCAACCATCGGATGCAGCAGCGTACTCCATTGGAAGCTAACTGGTCATTAAAACTACCCATTTGTTTTCTAGTTTAATAGGTGTGTCCTATTTGATTCTAATAATGTGAAATTGCCACTGTACTATTAAAGGGATCTAGTTATAAAAAAAAAATTACATAGCTATTGGTCATTTTTTTTGTTCTGTGTGAGTTAATCAGCTATTGTGAGAATGGGGCAAAATCGAATCTTTTTAAAAGGTATGTTTTCTCCAGGTCCAAAGTTATTAAGAATATAAATAACATTAATCAGCTTATTATGAATAGCCCTGTCAATTGCAATAACATCAGTATTACTGTGTTGCAAGCATATACATTAGCCACAGAGGTGTTATATATAATAATCCCATACACTGGTGCTGATGGTTGCCTTTTTCAGATAGAAACAATGTTGCAAAACAGAAAATTTAAATGTACTCCCTGCTCTGCTCTGAAGATCAATTTAACCTCCTGACTCATTTATTTATAAGGAAATCAGCAGCTTACTTACCATCACTGAACACACTTATCATGCATGGTAGCCATACCATGCCATAAATGAGGCAGCCTATTATAGTGATGGCCAAGTAAGAATATATGTGGGAGGAGGAAGCTCCAACACTACCAAGAAGTAACATAGCTTTGCCTGATCACAACAGCCTTTCATTCAGGTGGAGTGGGGCAAAGAAAACTAATGCAATATGTGCAAACTCTAGATGCCTGCTCGTCATGCCTGTCAGTAGTTTTTTTTTTTTTTTTTCCCATGGACTCCCAAAACTTACATAGTGATTAACTACATTATGGTAAAGCTTGTCTTGATCATCTGTCTATCTCCTGTGCTGCTGACTAGTAAATTCTCCCATTAGTCAAACTTAGTGAAATAATAGACATTTGATGTAACTTCAACCCTCTTACCTCATACAGCTGACCCATGGTGGCACTGGTTGGAGGAATTGTGTTGTTGACAAAGAAGAACAGTGCGTCTTCTGGTCGAAGGTGTATCCGCTTCCTGATTAGGAAGTAAAATTGTCCAACTGAAGGTTGTGGAGGGAAAAGCAAAACACAGTCGATCAACATGGATATCGTGTTAAACAAACAAGAAGAGAAAAACAAAGTCCTAGAATACTTGCGTGTGCACACTGAAGGTCTCCCACTACTCAGATAAAAAAACAGATTGCAACACCTCCTGTACCCTGTTACTCGTAGACTACTAATACTAATAATAACTAATTACTAATAATTAATTACTATAACTAATAACTAACTAATAAGCATTTCAATGTGTGTGAAGATAGCAAATAGATGAAGTGAGATGTGGCAATACGTGAAACATATGAGGGGGAGGGTAAACTTACCAGTGAGGTCTGATGGTACAAGATATTTCCTCTTGTCCAAGTCAGGAACACGAGCTTTAGGAGCCTTTTCAACAATTACCTGAAATAAAGAACACATAGTGATGTTCACAAATTACGTAGCTTGAAATAGTTGAGTTTGATCTAACTCTGGGTATAATTAACTTGGAGATCAGTAATGTTCATAACTCACCTCAAATTATGGCAAAACTATTGAGGACCAGACAGTAGTAAAGCAATAAGAGCACCAATGTAGACAACAGAACTATCCCATTATTCTATCCCAGGAACAAACATCAACCTCACTTTGGCTGGCATCTGATGAATTAATCAAGGCACCAAACGAGATAATTAAGACATTTCCAAATTTAAGGACAAATATTTTATCACAAATGCACAGAAAAAAACCTTGGCATCCAAGCAGGGCTGGCCTTAGGGGTGTGCGAGCTGTGCGGCCGCACAGGGTGCCATGGCAACAAGGGCGCCGTGCGGCCGACACAGTTCATCCTGGGGCGACTTCTGTCCCCCTAAACCGCTTGCCATCAGATATGACAGCGCTCCCTCGTCCCCTTAAGTGGGGGGGGGGCGCAGGAGGTAGCGCTGCCTGCTGTCAGGATGGCGGAGCGGTGAGGGGGAGAGAAGCCGCGTCCACAGCTGTCAGGATGGCCGAGCGGGTAGGAGATTGGAGCCGCTGTCATCCTGTCAGATTCAGGATGACAGCGGCTCTGTGCGTGGCAGCGCGGGGATCAGTAAATATCATTGATATTTACCGATCCTCCGCGTGAGAAGGACAAACACTGGAGCGATCGTCTGATCACTCCAGTGCTTGTAAATAACTGGGGACACACCCCCATTTACATCACAGCCTGTTCATTCAAGATTTCCTCAATGTGGAGAAGCACTCTGTACAGAGGCTCCTCCCAATTCTGAAACAGCTGATAGTAAATATTTGAATGGGAGGAGCCTCTGTACAGAGAGCTTCCCAAGCGACAACCATATGTGTGGTAGAACATATGACAAGATTTCCTACTGGGCTATGCGAAAATTAAATCAACATGAACTACGTCATACATAACAGTTCTCCATATAGGTTTTGGTTACTGGCAAATTAAGTAGAAACTACAGATGATCGCTAGGTGTATGGGTAGTTTAATTCTCTCACTGCATCAAAAAACTGTATGGGTGGAATTTATCAAAACTGGATCAGACAGAATCTGGAGAAGTTGCCCACAGTAACCAATCAGTGTCTCTCTTCAATTTGCTCAGAAAATGAAAAAGAAAAATACTGGTTGCTATGAACAGCTGCTTCAGATTTTGTTTGCTCCAGTTTTGATCAATTGCCCCTTATGAATTTTCTATTTTGATCATTTTAAGTTGGTTGTTTAACAGAGCAGTGGATCACCACAAGTTTTGTGACATTAAGGTAAATAGATAACGGACTACAAATTCTGATACCTGTTCATCATTCTAAACTCACTGCCCCTGGCCATGCTACAATTTGTGATACCAAAATATGGCTAAGGCAGTAGACGGGGAGGAAAGGCTACACTATTATTTTGTATGTAATGTGCTGAATAATGAAAAACCTCAGGCTATACGTGTGAAACGTTTGCTGAGAGAATGTATTGTTGCCCAAAGGAACCATTCAGAATCCTTGTCTTATTTTAAACTCTACATTACATAAATGACAGTTGGAAGCTGAATGGTTCCTATGGGCAGCAAGGAATTTTGTTACCACACTTCCATATATAAGCTCATCAATGGGTTACCATTCACGGAGGACCGCAGTCTCAACTGAAAACAACTTATTTACTACATCAGACACAACAATAGACCTATAATTAGTATTCCTTTTTCTAGGAACAATGTTTTTTTTTGTTCCTGAGACTTGCTCAGCTATAACATGCTGGGGGCAGCAGTGGCTACACATAGGTGCTTTTTTTCCCCACATGACTGCTAGAGGCACAGAGACGCCATACAAACTTTTTTCTTTTTTTCAGAAAGGATTGAATGTTTTCTGAAAGATTTAAAACATGCTTAGTGGAGTTATTCTTCAAAGCACACATGTGCTAAAAGCTACCCCCTAACCCCCCAAAGCTGTACAGTATTTACTAACTCTTGCCCTTGATACAATCTGTCCAACAATCTACTTTTCCTGAAAATAGATTCTTGCACCCTGTTATGAGTGCTCCCAATGTTTAGGCACTCGGGCCTATCAACTGGCCACTTAGGCAATAAGAGCAGCTTTTTGGTAGAGCAGGGGAGGGAACATGTGTCCCATGCCCAGGAGTACCAGGATGTTTCACAGGGCACCAACAGTAATCAAAACCAGAGATAAGAATGGGAGCAGTAAGTATAAGCATCATAGGATGCCTACTGTAAGTGGGAGTGAGGGAGAGGAAGTTGTTTTATTACAGGTGTTTTTTTAATTAAAGTATTTTTATACTTAATTTGAAATTATAGTCATAATATCAAAGCTTCTATAATAACAGTATTGCAAAATCACTGCCCCCTTAAATTAGATAACAATACCACAGTGTTTTAATGTCACTGTACCCCCTTACTGTAATTTGCCCTAATATCCCTGCCCCCCTTTATTACTGTAAAATCCCTGTCCTTGTTATGACAGTACTGTAATGTTCCTGTCCCCCTTATGAGAGTACTGTAATATCCCTGCCCTTCTTATGACAGTACTGTAATGTCCCTGCCCCCCTTATCACAGCACTGTAATGTCCCTGCCCCCCTTATCACAGTACTGTAATGTCCCTGCCCCCCTTATCACAGCACTGTAATATCCCGGTTATGACAGTACTGTAATATCCTTGTCCTCCTTTTGAGAGTACTGTAATGTCCCTTTCCTCCTTATGATGGTACTGTAATGTCCCTGCCCCCCCGTATGACAGTACTGTAATGTCCCTGCCCCCCGTATGACAGTACTGTAATGTCCCTGTCCCCCTTTTGAGACTACTATACTATCCCTGCCCTCCTTATGACAGTACTGTAATGTTCCTGTCCCCCTTTTCACAGCACTGTAATATCCCTGCCTCCCTTATAACAGTACTGTAATGTCCCTGTCCTCCTTTTCAGAGTACTATACTATCACTGTGCCCCTTATGACAGTACTGTAATGTCCCTGTGCCCCCTATCACAGTACTGTAATGTCCTCCTTATGACAGTACCGTAATGTCCCTGCCCCCCTTATCACAGTACTGTAATGTCCCTGTCCTCCTTATCACAGTACTGTAATGTCCCTGTCCCCCCTTATCACAGTACTGTAACGTCCTCATTATGACATTGCCTTAATATCTCTGTCCCCTTTATAACAGTGACACACCATCACCGTCTCCCTCACCTACACAAGTGCCCCAGATTTGGTTCCTTTCACAACACGGCGTCCTGTCATCCTTCTATTTATGTCAGTCATTGTGTATGGGACAGAGAGGCCTGGATCATGCAGACACTGCCACTGCAATGTTGTCATTGTATATGTTTGTATTTAGTTTTAAGGAAAATATTTTTTCCTGTACAAAAACAATGTCTGAACACTTGTAAGAATTATGAAACATTGTTGCTCGTCTCTAAAACCTGAGTAGGTTCTGCCTGCGGCCACCAATCAGATGCTTCTATTCATCTTATTATGACAGCGAGAATGTGGTTTGTTGATGCGGGCAGCACTCCCTCTGCTCTTCACACAGCCCTGGAGTTCAGGAACTGGGAGGAAGCAGCAGCAGCTCATGTAATATTGAAGGGGTTAAATGAAGCGTAAGAATCGGAGGAGCCCTCCCCTCTCATTGCAGTGCTGAGAAAGGAGGAGCCATGTGCACCATCTTTCCCCAGGGTCCACATCCAGCTGGAAGGGGACAACTTGAATTCTTTATTCTTGCGGCTCCCTGGTCTTAGAAGGCTTATGCCTCCTTTAGAAAATAACAAAGCAATGGGGGAGATCACAAGCTCTACATGACAATGAGCCCGGTACAAAAGGTGATCGCTGAAAATTTAATATCTGCTAGGTAAGTCAACTCCCTATAAAGCCCACAGCAATAAAACAGATCCCGCCATCCTGTTAATATTTACCTGTAACACCGCCAGGGACAAAATCACTTTCATGGTCACACCTGTCCCCCGAAATAACAAAGCGACCCTCTTATCTGGTAACCTGGCTTAAAGCGTCAACGCTGTAGGCCACCACGGCCTTTGATCCAACACATACAAGGCAACTATTAAAAGAACATATTTCTTACATAGATAACTAATAAGATCAATAAAACATATCACTGGTGCTTTGTCCTTATGGTTTTGTAAGGCAGCAGAGCAGATCCCCATAGCAGACAATGAGTAATCATATTTCATTGCTGGGTGTACAGTGAGGTCTCATCAGCTGCTATGGCTTCATGTACTTTGCCCTGTTTTATAGATCTGATCTTTACAGGAAGAGGTTAATAATGCAGGTAGAAGGCACAGAGGATGCAGCCCACCCCCCTCTACCCCAGGCTGGCATTTGGCTGATACTCACTGGCACCCTGTCTGGGTATTTTTTCCTGATCTTCTCCCCCTCCTTCTTCCTGTACTCATAGGGGTGATCTTCTTTGTACTGAAATTTCATGGCTGCCCTGTATTGTGTCCTGGTGGCGTGTGCGCACAACAGCTGATCAGCTCCTTTAAGCTCGGTGTCAGGCTGTCTCCTCCGAGCAGGCAGAGAGGGACCGTTGACGTCACAGGCACTCCTCTGGGCAGTACCAGGCGAGCCAAACAAAGGGCACGTGATGTTAACCCTTCCAGGACCGGCACTCTCTGCTCAGGCTGCTGGATTTTGCATGCTGGCTATACAGGCGTTGCTAAACCTAGGCATGCCCTCCCAGACAATAGATGCTGGAACTTCTAGTTCCACAGCAGGCTACTTAAGCTGGCAATCCTGACTATAGTGTCGCCTAAGATTATTTAGAGCTTGTTCACACAAGTGTGGAGCAGATGCAGAGCAGTTAGAGAACGTATCAAAAATGCATCCAATGTATTCCAATGGTATTTTGGGGCTCTAGTTCACACCACAGCGTTCAGTTCCGCAGCATGTGGAAAAACTGCAGCACAGGGGCGTCCAAAGGATGGGTGATACCCGGAGCGGAGACCAGGTGTCACCCCGCCGTGACGTCATTGTGCATGGGCAGCCGTCTTATTGACGCCTGTCGGCGGCCATCTTGGTGATGGACGCTAGCAGAGAGAAGAGGGGACGTTCACCCGACGGGATGAGGTATGCCGCCGGGTCCCCTCCTCTCTCCTGACACTGTTGGGCACTTGGTCTGTGACAGAGTGCCCGACTTTTAATAGGGGGTGACACCCGGGTGCGGGCTGCACCACCCTTGTGACGCCACTGCTGCAGCATGCCCTATTTTTTCTGATCTGGAACTAAAACGCATGCAAACGCACTGAAAGCCCATTTTAGGCAAAAAAAATGTTTTTTTTTAAAAACAAAAACGGCCCGGGATGCAGCAAAAACGCGGCAAAACACAAGACACTGCATGTGCAGAAACTCATGCAGATCTGGTCTGGATTTGGTGTGAACAAGTCCTAAAGCTCACATTCATACATAAGTGTAGCAGGGACACGCGTTGCGATGATGTGCGTTCGCAGGTGTTTGTTTTCTGCAATTCAGTGGGTTTCTGGATGTGCGACAAATGCGGGAAAAATAGTGCCGGCAACAAATTATGCGACACGCATTTCACGCCCCCCCCCACGCATTCATGCGTGTTCTAAGGCTAAGCACCCATTCACACTTATGTGAGGTATGGTGAACGCGTGTCAAATGCGCACACAAGTGCACACAAATCGCACAGAACACATGTAACAGAATTTAATACATGTGCTACTCTTCCGCATTTGCCGCACGTCCAGGAACCCATTAAATTTAATGGCGAAGCACAGCAAATAGTAAAAAATGTGGATCCGCGCTTTATGGGTAGCCCTGATATTAAAGCAGCTGCGCTCTCAACCCTGGGGTCAAAATTTGATAAAGTGTAAATTGTGAAGCGCTAGAAATAAAGTGCTTGATATAAATAAATATGTAAATATATAAATAAATATATAAATATATATAAATTAGGTAATATAAAGAATATATACTATTCAGTGTCTATCTGATTAAATAGTTATAAATAAAAAGTGTGTCCACAGTGTAAAATATTCAGTATCACAATTATATACAGTGTTAAAAGATATATTATATAATATTTTCACTCTTGTGTCTTTCAATAATAAAGTGATAAATTAGTGTCAAAACATTTTGGTGAACAGCTGATACCCAGCATTAAAACCTTACAATAGTCCCAAATGGTGATCCATTAATCATAAAAATTAGAAAAAACGTGATATAACTTAAAATTGACTCCGATGAGCACTTCAAACAAATATCTCTGTTGGGCTGATCCGTTTAACGTGATCTTCTACATGGCTTTGCGTTAACCCGTGCCGATCTATGCAGATCAACGCAGCTCATAGGACATTATGTGAATGAGCCCTCAGGAATGGTTTACACCATGTGAGCTCTGTAGATCAACGCAGGTAGCTGTCTGGGCTATGGTGTCTCACCAGGGGTCTGCAGGCAGGCAGCACATTGTCGGGGAGGAGGAGGAGCAATCACAGATGCCACTGCCATGGTCCCTTGCAAGCACGACCTCGGGCGGCCGCACCTGGCTGAAACCTGGATCTTCCTCTGAGCTGCCGGGCACCTGTAAACAGGCACAGGCTGCCCGCAGCTCAGAGGAAGATCCGGGTTTCAGGCAGATGCGGCTGCCCGAGATCACGCTTGCCAAATACCTCGGCAGCTGCATGTCGGAAAATGTAAAGTGCTGCTGTCGGCACTTTACATTTTCCGGAGTGTCTTGTGTCCGGTGCCCGCTGGCTGGCCACCCGGGCACAAGAATCCAAAACCGGACTGTCCGGGTGAAAACCGGACAGGTGGCAACCAATCAGCTCTTCTCTTCAGTTTGTTCAGTTAAGCTTTAAAACTGTAAGAGAGAAGCTGGTTGGTTACTACGGGCAACTGCTACAATTTTGATAAATTCCCTCCATAGTGTGTATGGCACCTAACACACTTCCTAGAAAGAAAATGCTCACTCACTGTATCTATGGAGGAGAAGCATGGTTACCCTAGGACAGGACTACAAAACTAATTCACCTGTCCTCAGCTCTATAAGTGTGTGTGTGTAGGGGGGGTGTTGTAGTTCACAGAGGTGACCTGAGCAGGAATATAAGGATATGAGGGTTCTTGCGATAACACTGTAGAGTGCACAAGATAGCACTAGATTTATGGCAGGATCAACATTTATTTTGTACTTAATAAAATGAAGTCAATTGTATATTTAACAGAATAAATAAGAGAAGTTGATTGTTGGTGTTTACATACCTTTCATAATGGCAGAGAAAAGCCTAGAAGAGCCTCACTATAATTCAGAGTGAAATGCAGGGAAGGGGTTAATAGCGATGCAATGTCACGGACTGATTATGGGAGGAGGTAAGGGACAATGTTGTTGTGGTTTCTGTGCTTACCAGTCTTGTGACTTTGCATCACATGAACACTATGCAAGGTAAACAGGTGACTCAGACATTACAAAGGAGCAAGGTGTGCTCTGTCTGTGTCTGCGGCAATGACTGCCACTAATCTGCAAGGTCAACAAAAGTTTTTCCTAGCTGCTGTGTTTATTCCATCAACTGTATATGAGTAACACAGGCCATACATGCAACGATTTGTAACCTTTATACAGATCGATTGTACAAGGTTTCAATAACATGCAAACATGATCGATTCTTAATAAATCTCGATCTGATGTCATCAAAATTGATCCGTTATTTTTTTTTAAAGTAGGTGTAAATATGCTCAATCACTTCCTGATCAATGAAATTGATTGATCGATGGAAAGTAGCCTTTCAAGTGAAATGTGGACTGAAAGATCAATCCAATTTACCACCGTGCCCAATTGCCTACATTTTGATAAATTTCCAGAAATATTAATCAGGCATGCTTTTAATTTTTAATCCATGGAAATCGGTACATAACCAGCCAATTAGATCTGCATATGCATGGGCACCATAAGTGGGCTGGTGTTAAGTTGGCCATACACTGCATGAATTTTGGTCATGTCCTGTTGAGTCAGAGGAAATTCGAGCAGTGTGGCCTTCTCAACAGGGCTGGATTAAGAGCATCATGGGCCTGGTGCTGTCGGTTGGTCGGGCGGGAAGTAGCAGAGACGGCTCTCTAATTAGGTGGCTACTCACTCTTTGCTGGGGCATTGTGGGGTGGCCACCTAATAAGTCTGATTAGAGAGCCTCCAGTGCCTCTGCCTGATTGTGTTTAGTCTTCTAGTCAGGAGCTGGTTGAGCATCCAGGGCATAGGGTTGCCACCCGTCCGGTTTTCACCCGGACAGTCCGGTTTTGGTGTGTTGTGTACGGGTGCCCCGCCAGTGGGCACCCGGACACATCACACTCCGTGGCCGTGCCGACACCGGCACTTAAAATTTTCGGACAGGTGCGGCTGCTGAGGTCCTTGTCAAGCCCGATCTGAGCAGCCGCACCGCCGGAACTTCCTCTTCCTCCCTTCTTCTTATTCCCCTTAAAAAGCAGCTCCTGCTGCTCTCCCTTGTCAGCTCTGACGCTGCAAGGGTAAACAAGAAAACACTTTTCTCCCTGCCCGATTCACTTACGGGCTCCTCTGCCTCATCAGCGGTCACATGTGCCTTTCTCCTCCCTCCTCAGCTGCTATTGGCTGGGAGG